TTGAATACATTCAATTAATTTAATTAATTAATCACTAAATTTAAAGTATAAGCTTAGATCTAATAATTATTGAGGATTATGTTTAGCCGGACTATAATTGTGGATGAAGCTATATATAGCCTTTTCAGATAGATGGAGATGACTTTAGTTTAGTTGAATAAAAACCGGGCTGCTTCGTTAGTAACTAAAGAATTTGCAGAATAGTTATGGAGGGAGATGAAGCAAGAGATTTGTTTGGAGCACAGTCCCATTTGTACAAGCATGTATTCAACTTCATAACTTCTATGTCGCTCAAGTGTGTAGTGCAGCTCGGCATACCGGACATAATTGACCGCCACGGACAACCCATTACTCTACCTGACTTGGTCACAGCACTTCAGATCCACCCGGCTAAAACTGGTAATGTGCACCGGCTCATGCGCCTCATGGTGCACTCCGGCTTCTTTGCACGAAAAGAAGTTCCTAAAAATCATGGAGAAGCAGATAAAGGAGAAGAAGAGGCGTATGATCTCACACCGTCTTCTAGGCTCCTCCTGAAAGACAAAGTACCCAGCTTGTCTCCCTTCGTTCTAGGGATGCTCGATCCAGCTATCGCAGCACCGTGGCAGTTCCTCGGAAACTGGTTCCGAGGAACCGAGGTCACGCCTTTCGAGAGCGCTCATGGGATGGGGTTTTGGGAATACGGGGAAGGGAACCCCGAATTCAACAGTCTTTTCAATAAGGCAATGGCTAGTGATTCTGGAATGATGAACTTGGTGATTAGAGATTGCAAGCCAATCTTTGATGGGTTGAGTTCATTGGTTGATGTTGGTGGCGGGACTGGAAAAGTTGCTAGAATTCTCTGTGACGCTTTCCCTCAACTGAAATGCACAGTTCTTGAACTTCCACACGTTGTTGCTGATTTGCCAGACGGTGAGAATTTGAAGTTTGCTGGAGGAGACATGTTCCAGGGTATCCCTCCAGCGGATGCTGTTTTCCTCAAGGTAAGCAAATTTTCAACTTTTCAATTATCTTCTGTTTTGACCATATGTAATTGCATCAACTACTTAGCCTATTATAACAAGATGGAATAGAATATGGTAATGTTTGGAAGTAGTTAAAAATGGCTAAAAGCACTTTCAGATAGCAGAAAAATCTTTCAGTAACAGTTGGCATAAAAGTTTAGTGGCATACAGGAACAACTAAGTATTTAGATCACCAAGATGATATGTTTATTTCAAACTTGAATAATTCATGGTTTTCTGGACTCCAGCTAAACATGCCACAAATGTGGTTATGGGTTAAAAGGACCTGGAGTTCCAAGTACTTTTCTTTAAAGAACTTAAAATTGTGTTAAATTTTCAACTGCTGCTAATAAGGTTTTAAGTTTTTGACAAAGACGGTTTTGGTTATATGATGTGAAAATTGGGTAATTGGCAGCTGACTTTGCATGCTCTGAGCGATGAGGACTGCTTGAAGGTTTTGAAGAAATGCAGGGAAGCAATTGCAAGCAATGGCCAAGGGAAAGTTATAATCATAGACATAGTGATAAACGAAGAGAAAGATGAGCATGAAATAACCGAAGCAAAGCTCTTGTTTGATCTGCTGATGATGGTTCTGGTCACTGGAAGAGAGAGGAGCGAGAAAGATTGGAAAAAGCTCTTCCTGGAGGCTGGTTTCAGCAGCTACAAGGTGACACCAATATTTGGTTTGAGATCCCTCATTGAAGTTTTTCTTTAGAAAGTTAGAAGCAACCATGTAGTATTTATGATTTATGTGGATGCTGATTGCCGAATAAGTACTGTCAAATTGCATACCATATGATTATGGACCAGTTTGGGATTGATGTGTTTTTTTTTTTTTAAAGCTGCTTCTGCTATGTTTTAAGAATAATTAGTTGTAAAATAAAGTTGTTGAGCGTTTGATAAACTGTATTCATAAAAGTGTTGTGAGTATGAAAATAGTATAAAAGTGTTTAGTAAATTTTAATGTAAAATTGATATAAAATTATACATAATAACAAAAGATGAATATGATAGTGGGGATGATGACAACAATGACGGTGAGGGCGGTGGTGGTTGTGATGGTAGTGTTGGTGGTTGTGTTTATAGTGGTGGTGATGGCAATGACGATTGTGACAACAATGATAGTTGCAATTGTAGTTGTGATGTTAACGTCGGCGGTCATGCTTGTGGTGGTGGTTGTAGTGGTCGTGTTGGTGGTGTTGGTGACACAATTGTGGTGTGGTAGTGTCACCAATGGTAGTGGTAATGGCAATGGTGGTGGTGGTCAATTTATTCTTTAAAGACAAAATGTGTCTACATTGATAAATAACGTCATTTTTTAAAATTAATGAAGTTATTACAAAAATTGAAAATATTCATTAAAAATTGCTTTTTGTTACTTAACTAAAAAGTGAAGTAGTTTTTGGTTAAAAAACCAATACCAAACGGGACCTATTAATGATTAATATAATTAACCCTAAAAGAGTGACATGATCAGTCGTTCATACATGTATATTAATTTTGACCACTTTGTAAATATTACAAACATGATTGATCAAATCAGTCTATCAACAGAAAAGAAAATCAAAATCAGTCGTGCATGCATGTGTAAATTTGTTTTGATAGTTCTTTGTGGCATTACAAGCATTAATAATTATGATAGTCCCACACGTGTACGTGACTATTTCTAGCACTTCCCTTAGTTTTAATTAAATAATTGTTCTTGCATTGATAGATAACTAGCCTTTATGCACGCGCTTATGTGCGTACAGAAGACATTTTTTGAATTACGGCATGCTACGTGCGACTTATACGTTTTAAATGTATTTATATGCATGAATTGACAAAAGAAAGTCAAATATTTGAAGTAAATGAATAATCTTAGATTATGCTAGAAAAAACCCCTCGCAAACCAATCAAAGTAGCTGAATTCACATAAAAAAATTGGTCTTTCAATTTCCATCTACATTCTATTGAATTTACATTAAGAATATAGAAAATAATATTTAATAAACAACTGGTTGAATCACATTATTGCTAGCCTATTGAGAGGCTAAACCTACTGTAACATCCCACATCGCCCAGAGGAGTGAATCCTGTAAGCCTTATATGTATATTCTCATCTCTACCTAGCACAAGGTCTTTTGGGAGCTCACTGGCTTCGGGTTCCGTAGGAACTCCGAAGTTAAGCGAGTTCACGCAAGAGGAATCCCAGGATGGGTGACTCACTGAGAAGTTTTCCCACAAACAAAACCGTGAGGGTGTAGTAGGGGCCCAAAATGGACAATATCGTGCTACGATAGAGTCGAGCCCGGGATATGGTGGGGGCCCGGGCCAGGATGTGACACCCACCCATTCCCCTTTAGTGTAGATAATATCGTATGTTGAAACAAAAAAAAAATATTTTTGTCCAAAAATTTTTGGTGAAGCTTGTGACCCCAAAAGGGGTTGTTGGCTTTATATATAAAGATTTGACAACTAATTTAATCACATTATTATGCGCGTGCAAAATATTTTTTTTATAACTGGTATTACATGTCTCTTAAGATGTTTTGAACGTGTTTAAAAATAGAGAAAATAATATTTAATGAACAACTGATTGAATCACATTATTACTAGCCTATTGTGAGTTACTAATTAAAAAAAATGTACAAAAAGAATTAATTAGTTAAAAAAAATGTTAAAAGGATGAAAATATCCCTACATTATTTTGGGTTGGTTTTGAATTTTTTTCGTTTTAGGGGCATTTTTGTCCAAAACTTTGTTTGAAGCTTGTGACCTAAAAGGGGTTGTTGGCTTTACATATAAAGATTGGGGGACTTTTCTTCATTTCACATTTTGATAGATATAATTGGGGGATTTTTCTCCACCTTCACATTAAACAAAGGGTACATGCCTAACTTTCTTCATTTTCCATATGCAAATTTTCTAATCTTCAGATTTTAACTTCACCATGGCAACTTGGCCAAGAGAAATCTGCAAAGAAACCAAAACAAAGAACACAAAGTAAACATAAAAATATGGACAGATGATGTCAGTTTTAACATAAGCGCGAGACTATTTTGTATTTTTATTCACTTAACCCTATACAGATTTTACTTAATGTGTTGTCGTAGTCAGCCGATGCCATTAAAAGTTTTTTCCCAAGTAAACAATGCAGTAATAGAGGCAAAAGGCAAAAACCAAAAGGGTATGTAAGAACCAGCAACTCATATGCAAACAATCTTGCAATATTAATTAGGGATTCAAGGAGCTCCTCTCTTTTATCTTTGCCCAATAAATCAACACTTCTAGAAATTGTTGTTTTTCTTTTTTAAGTGTCCTTAAATGTGGATTAGTCATTTGGTCTGAATTAATTAGTACTAAATAATAGGCAAATCCAAGTCGCTCTTGCAGGCAGCCGAAATTGAAGTCAAGGCTCCCTTCCAACAAATCCAAAGAAATTATGATCTTCCTACAATATTTGGGAAATGTATACGAAAAAAATTCATTTATAAATTAGAATCCACTTAATCCCTACTTCCTTGATTCTGAAGTTAGCGAACCAGCAAAGCAAAAATTATGAATTTTGGAAAGGAGGACCTTGATCTGGTTTTGGTCCCAAGTGGACTGTTCATCATGCTTGTCTATCACATCATCCTCCTCTACAGATATCTCCATCAACCTCACACCACAGTCCTTGGCTTTGAAAACAATGACAAAAGAGCTTGGGCTGAAAGAATTATGCAGGTAATTACAATCTCTCCCTCTTTCTCAATGAGCGGACTGGATTGTGTAACAACTTGACAGGCATAAGTGCAAGAAAAAAGGTTTTGAGATTTCCAAAGTTGTGACCCTAGCATCCAATTTGGGTTCCTAATGCACATGTTGCATTGCTGCATAATCCGGTCCGCTACCTATTACCCTAGCATAACCTAATTTTCATTGCACCTAAATACCTTTAATTGCAGGTTGATAAGAGAGATGTTGGCACAGCTTTAAATGTGATCTCATCCAACACATCAGCAGCAACTTTTCTGTGTTCCATCTCCTTAACTCTCAGCTCCCTCATTGGAGCTTGGCTCGGAAGTAATTCAACTAAGACAGTCTTCCAGAGTGAATTGATCTATGGCAACACCAACCCATCAATCCTCACAATAAAATACATAAGCCTCTTGACTTGTTTTCTTCTAGCCTTTGCATGCTTTGTTCAATCGGCAAGGCACTTTGTCCATGCGAACTACCTGATCAGCATGCCAGATAGTAACATTCCGGCGTGGTACGTGCAGATGGCGGTGATAAGGGGAAGTGATTTTTGGTCACTTGGGCTTAGAGCACTCTATTTTGCTCTTACTCTTTTGCTGTGGTTTTTTGGTCCGATTCCGATGTTTGTTTCCTCCATGGTTTTGGTCATAGTTCTACATAACCTTGACACAAACACCAGACCACTGCATCAGCATCACCTTCCGGGAAAGGAGCTCGTTAAACACACCGGCGAGAGAATCTCAGAGGTGGCTGTGACCATTCAGCATGATACAGAAACGGTTAAAACTACGACTAGTAGTACAGCGTAATTTTCAATCGTGTATGCATGTTTGTTTGGAGTTGTTAGGTAGTAGGTTTCCTTAGCTAGTAGTGCTATTTGATTAAAAAAAAACCAATAATTTGATTAAAAAAGAACCAATGTCTTACAAACACCACGAAAGAGTTTTGGAAGCTAGAAATTGGGAGATTAACTTCAAAATTTCCCTTCAATGGCCCAAAATTTTGTTAGTAGATTGGAATTTATTATGATTATTACAAATAAGCACCTAGCATCCTCGTTTTGAAAAAAAAAAAAAAAAAAAAATCAACTGTTATTGCACTCGACTACTAACGCATTATAGATGAAGAGGTTTCTCTTTTATTGTAGTTTGATCTCTCAAGTGCTTTTCTCTAATATTATCGGTTGTCGGAACTACTATTTTAGTAAATTTATATTGATTGGCTAGTACTTGGAGATGTCTATAACCTATGCACTACAAGTTGGATTTTTACCTAACTTGAAACGTGTGTTTGAATACTCTTTATATATAGCCAAGACAAGTTGTTGGTTTCTATATTTTATTTAGAGGCAGTTGAATTGACAGTATTGCTTAATTAATTTTGGTCTAATAAAATTATTTTTTCCCAATAATAAAAGCAAACTTATGTATGCAACTTGTTTTATAGGACATCCTTGTGAAAACACATGTGTACATACTCCATATTAGAAGCACACATTAACTTTTTTTTAGAACCTCGATGATACTAAAGAAATTTATGAATCTGAAAATAAGAAGTTATACTTAGCCAGGAAGACATAAAATTTCTCTCTCATAAAATAAGAAAACCAAAAAAAAAAAAAATAGGAACATAAACCTTACCCTTCTTTAAAAAAATACAAAAAAACGAGAGGGGACACAAACCTTACCACATATCAAGAGGGGGAGATAAACATGCAGGTGGGCATGCTCAAGAAATCCGAATTCAGAAAAAGAAGAATCTGTATAGGAGGAGTGGTATGCTAAACAAATACGAGTGAATACGAGAGATGCACACATTGATTTAAAGTTGTACATAATTGATAACGTAAGTAACTGGAAATTATTGCGTTCACGATCAATGAAAATTTGATTTAACTCTACAAACTTGACGCTCAAAAAACCACTAATAATAGTTCGTTTGTAGCCATGGCCTCCAATGCCAGTCACTTCTAACCACCGCCGGACTTTCTCAAAGTCGTGGCAAGATAGGATCACGATGGTCGCGACAGATGAAGCTAACATGGGAATAGGTCCAAAAAACCCCAATAGAAAATTGAGAGCAAAGTAGAGTGCTCTAAGCCCAAGTGACCAAAACTCGCTTCCCCTTTCAACTGCTCTCTCGGCTTTTTTCACGTCGCTTTTCGCGGTGGCTCCTGGGGTGGCTAAAAGGTAGTTTGAGTGGACAAAGTGCCTAGCTGATTGAACAGCATGAAAAAGCAAGGAGAAAACATGTCAAGATGCAGATGCACTTGATAGAAACGGTTAATGGGTTTGTGCTGCCATATATTATTTCACTTGGTAAGAAGTTGTTAATGGAGTTTGCCATCCAAGCTCCAATGAGAGAGCACAGAGTTAGAGAGATTGATGCTAAGGACGTAGTTGCACTTGTATTGGAGGAAATGACATCAAAAGTTGTTTTAACTTTCGTTGCAACTTGAACATCTTCACCCTGCAGCAACCAACAGTGAACAAATTAACCCGGAACATGCAATGGCTCATAGCTCAAATGGTTAACAGCTTTCGTCCATGCACTTGAGAGTAGTATATATAAACAAACTTCACAAAAATAGGTGAAATTAAAGAAGATATGAAGCTTACCTGCAAGATTTTTCCAACCCAATTTTTGTTGTCAATGTTTTCAGATCCAATGACAGTGGAGAGAGGGTGATTGATGTATTTGTAGAGCTTGCTTCAGTTTCCATTTAGATGCAACTAATAGTTGACATTGAAAGCTGTTGCCGAAATCGAAAGCAAGTGGTAATCTTCAAACTCAAAACTACAAGGTGGAGACTCCTACATGCTGAATATTCTCTGCGAGTTTCTGATTTGGGCCAAATCTTATCCCAAGAATCATGGATTGGACTTGACCGGACAGGAAAGGTCGGAACCATTCCTTTATAAATAGAACAGGAAGACCCCTTACTCATCGCCATTTAGCACCAAGAGATCGGAAAACTATGGAGTTCTAATCATGCTGATTTACCACCTCTTCCTCCTCTCCTCTACAAGTACCTCATGCAGCCTCTTTCCACTGCCATTGGATACGAAAACATGGACAAAAAGAATTGGGTTGGCAAACTTCTGAAGGAAGCATCATGTGTCCTTTTTTAATCCAAGCGATATTTGAAGGACCTCGACTGCAAGGGTACGTAAACGCTATTAACCGTAATTTGTTTACTTTTGATGGCTGCAGGACCAAGATGCTACGAAGAATGTTTTACCAGCTTTTACTGTGATTTCCTCCAAGTAAACTTAGCAGCAATCTCTCTAACTCTCTGCTTTCTCATTGGAGCTTGGATGGCTAACTCCACCAACAATTTCGTCCCAAGAGAAATAATATCTGGCAAAACACACCGATCAGTTATTTCTATCAAGTACATCTGCCTCTTGACCTGTTTTCTCCTTGCTTTTTCATGCTTTGTTCAACCAACTAGCCACTTTGTCCATTCAAACTACTTGTTAAGCACTGTGAGAGCTACTACGAGAATCGATGGTAAAAAAGCCGAGATAGCGGTTCAAAGAGGAAGTTCAGTTTTGGTCACTTGGGCTTAGAGCACTCTATTTTGCTCTCAATTTTCTTCTATGGTTTATTGGACCTACACCGACGCTTGCTTCCTCCGTTGTAACGGTTCTGATCTCAAGTTGCCATGACTTCAAGAAGCCAGATACGAATCAGCAAGTCATCGCTATGTAAATGAAGGGTATTATTTATTTCTTGGGCATGAATTTTGTACACAGCTAAAACCATATATTCTTCTTCCTTGTTGGACATATTTGTTCTTCCTTGTTGGACATATTTGTTCTGTCATTTGTGGTTTTCATCAAGTAATAAACAATCCTATTCATGTTAGAAATTATAATCCCTAATTGCACGAGGGGTAGTATAAGGCATAATGATAGTCAAGCATGCTTGATATGTCACCGGAATGGTAAGGCCAGCTTCTGCAACATTTGCAAGCAAGTTGGCCTGGCCATTTGGTTTAGCAGCATCCAATCTTCGCTCCGGTTGAGAGAGGTCCAAAGTTTAAATTTCACGAACAATAATTGTTAATAAAAGAAACTTTTGTAAGCATGTTTCGTTTGGAGCTTATGCAAGAGGAAGTCAATGAGTGCTTTTAACAAATCCAAGCACTATGGAGTCCTCAACTAATATATATGAGTAAAGGGTCTTCTTGTGATAAGATTTGAGTTGCAAATTAGACCTTGCACAGAATATTCAGCATATGTGAGTCTCCATTTTTGCAACATCTTACAATGTCAACTACTAGCTGCATATAAATTGGAAACTGAAGTAATTAGGTTATAGTATACAGGCAATCGAAAGCGAGTCAAAGATTACGTTGTTAAACAAATCCCGAAATATCCCATGAATCTTGGGCAGGACAGCTTATAAACAGAACAAATCCTCTACTGCATTATTGTTTTTAGCACCATGAGGTTAGAAGCTATGGATTTTCCGCATTTTCAGAAAGAGTACTTAGATGTGGTGTTGGTCCCAATTGGGCTCTTGATCATGCTAATCTACCACCTCTTCCTCCTCTACAAATACATCACTTACCCTCTCTCCACCGCCATCGGTTCTGAAAACAATTACAAGAAAGTTTGGGTTGGAAAAATCTTGCAGGTAAGTGCCGTATCTTCTTTTATTTCTCCGAAGTTCAGGATCTTTTGATTGATATTGGGGTAGGGGTGAATGCTCCTAACCAGTTCAGCTAGGAGCCCTTGCAAGTTCCGTGTTAATTTGTTTACCATTTGGTTGCATCAGGGTGAAGATGTTCAAGTTGCAAGGAAAGTTAAAACAGCTCTTGATGTGATTTCCTCCAATACAAGTGCAACTGCGTCCTTAGCATCAACCTCTCTAACTCTCTGTGCTCTCATTGGAGCTTGGATGGCAAACTCCAACAACAACTTCCAAAAAAAATAATATATGGCAACACAAACCCTTCAACTACTTCCATCAAGTACATCTGCCTCTTGACATTTTTTCTCCTTGCTTTTTCATGCTTTGTTCAATCAGCCAGCAGGGCCGGCCTAGGCCTAGTGCTATCAGGACAACCGTCCGGGACTCAAAATAATTAGGAGCACCAAAATTATTAGAGTGGTATATTTATATATATTTGTATAAGAGTATAAATTTATAATATTTGGTTCAATGACAGAAAAATTTAACTAACGGATGGTTTTGTTGTTTGAAATTAATGAGGTGGTCTTGGGTTCAAAACACTATGTGTGTGCTTATTTACTTTTCAAGTTTTACAAATTTCTTTTCATAAGAATATAAATATATAAAATTTGGCTAAATGATCAAGAAGTTTAATTAGAATCAATGGTTTTTGTTGTTTAAAATTAATGAGAGATCCTAAATTCGAAATGTTAAGTGCATGTTTATTCTTTTCAATTTTTACGAATTTTTGTTTGGTTGTTAATTTACTTTTATTTAGTAGCTAGTAGTTATGTAGGTTGTTATTTTATATTTATTTCAATTCAAGTCTAATCTTCAACAAAGAGTATTGCGTTGACCAAATTTTTAGACCAAATTTGCAAATCATATGACATGTCATCAAAAAGTTTTAAGTTAGTACCCATTTATTACTTATACATATCAATTAAAGACTCAAAAATATCATTATTTTTTTAGTCCCATATTGACAAGGTTAGTAAATAAGAAAAAACACCTCACGATTTATACAAAAATAATTTAAAAGTTCAAATGGAAAACAAAACTCATATCTATTTACTTGTAAACCCAGAGTTTTTTTTTTTGTTTCCTTCTCACGATACAAAATAGATTAGTTTTTTCGTGTTTCTAAATTATTAAGTTTGAAGTGCTTTTATAAATATAATTTTATCGATGTCTTAAGTGTGAAAACAAATAATTTTCTTATATAAAATGATGGCACATTTTTTGGCGTCTCCTCGGGCCTCAAAAATCTCTAGACCGGCCCTATCAGCCAAGCACTTGGTCCAGCCTGCCTTTGGAGGCTAGCCCAAAGCCTAAAAAAATTAGGCTGGCACCCAAAAAACTCACTCCATCCCACAAAATAGGACGGCCCAAAATGGACCGTGGGAGGAACCGGTCTATCTAGCGTCATGCTGACACCAGCATAACATCAACGAAGGCCAGAATTTTTTTTTGCGTCAAGCGCACTAAAGGGGCGCGAGATATGACCACATGGCGCGTCTTCGCCCGTTGGATTTCCAACGGTAAAAAAAAATTGAAAGTCAAACCAAACAGCTAGTGACGTGGCACAATCTGGACTGTTAGATTTTCATATCAATGGTCCAGATTTTTCGGCCAAAAAACTTAAAAAAAAATAGATAAAATGTCATAAATTAATGATATATTTTTTTATAAATAAAGAAAATGTCATAAATTAAAAATAAAATAAAATATTTTTATATTATTTTATAATAAAAATTAATGATATTTTAATAAAATAGACTAGGTTATTTAGTTTTAGAGGTGAAGATGTACTTGGCCAATTACTATTCATTGCAGTCAATTGTTATTCATTTGGGTGGGGTGGAGTTGCTCTCAAAATACCTGTTAATTGCACTGGGAGCTAGTGCGAACAACAACATGAAGAAAGCCGGGAGAGCAGTTGAAAGGGGAAGTAAATTTTGGTCATTGGGTCTTAGAGCACTCTACTTTGCTCTCAATTTTGGGAGTTTTAACGAAAAATCATATTTTTACATTAAAAAATCAATTCTTGTACTATACACTTTACTCTTTATTTTGTCCTTATCATTAAAACTCAAAGTTTTCAAACTATTTTTATTAATTTTCCTCTCAATTTTCTATTGTGGTTTTTTGGACCCATTGCCATGTTTACTTTGTCTGTCGCAACGGTCGTGATCCTATCTTGCCACGATTTTAGGAACTCCAGCAGTGATCAAAAGTGCCCGGCGTCGGCCAAGGCCAGAAATGAATGGTTATTGTTAGTTTATTGAGCTTAACGTTTGTCGAGTTGAATAAAAGTTTCATGGATCATGAATGCGAAACCAAACGTTTACCATACAACATAACCGGACAGCCTCTGCCAGCGACAACGAATGATGCAGTTCCTGAGAGGTCCTCCTGCTCCACACATCTTTCAACACGTGTTATCCGAATCTCGAGATAAGATTACCCTCATGCCCAGCAAGAAGGAAAAATGGAAGACTGAAAATTTTCTCTGTTGGGCTCAAATCACCGAAATGACGGAAATAGCCCTTCGTCAGTGCAACGCATGGCGGGGAAGGGGACAGAGAAGGAGCGTAAGTGAAAAAACGACGTCGGGTGCGCGCGATGATTGAAGTGACAAAAGTACAATGAGAGGCAGAGGCACTGGGGCAGGGCAGAGGCGGGCAGGGCAGCACCCCCGTAAAAGTCGAGCGGTCTCTCCTGCAAAAGCGACGCCTTTAGTCGTTTGGGCCCTTTGGTCGTAAGAGCGAGTCCAATCGATTAAGGAGGACAAAGATAACGCAAGGACAAATGCGCTAAAATTGTCTTTATTATTTACTCTGAAAGGTAATTATTTTTATGCAAGTTTACTTGTTGAAGGAAAGGAAGGAGCAGGAGTGATTACTGTTTAAAGAAAATTAATGAAAATACTTTGAAAACTTTAAGTTTTAACAAAAATGATAAAATAAAGGGTAAAGTGAATAGTACCGTGATTGACTTTTTAGTGTAAAAATATGGTTTTTTTGTTAAAGTAAACAGTACCAAGAGTTTTTTGTTAAAATTCTCTACTATTTAAGCTCAGGCATCAATTGGCAAGGCACCTGCAGCCCACCCGCCAATCAAACAAGTATTGAGTTAGAGAGATTTTTCAATGTACTTTAAGTCCGAGTTGGTGTATTTGTTTTGTATGTGTCTTAATGTTATGAGAGGAAGATTAAAAAGTATATTTTTATTTTATAAAGCGACACATGATGTACTTGTTTGATTTTCGGGCACATGAAAATATCATGCTATGAGTTATATGTTTGTTTAATATATGAGAGCAACCTACTTAGAACATGTTCACAAAAAGGTTTTACACACGACAATATATTATTAAACTAAATCGTCAAATGAACGTGAATTCATCTTGGTAATTCATTCCATTGATACATGGGTTTTTGCTGAGACCAAGGCGCCAGGCGCGAAGAAGAAGAAGAAGAGAAGGTCATGTGCATGGTAAAGAATCAAGAAAGGTGGGGGTAGGAGAGGACAGGAGAGGGTGGAGACAATTGGCCCACTGGATTCGTATTTGTAATGTGTCACATGGTTTTGCACAAAGTGGAACCTTGTAGGGTTATTAGGTTGTGAACTCACTTGGCTGCGGATTTGCTGCATGATTTACAATTGCCACACTAGGGTTAGTATGTTCACTTATTCAGTATCAATGAGATCATTCTTGCAGAACATATTCAAAGTTCAAACATGGTGGATTTAGGAAAAATTATTCGAAGGGTCACATGTAAAAGTTCACAAACATTTATTAAACATACAATAACTTAAAAAATTAAATCAGAGTTCCATCATTCATACTAAGACGAGCAACTCCTCTTTGAGGCATTTTAATAAGCAGTTGTACAAAAGGTAACTCCAACTTTTAAAAGAGCAGCACTAAAATCATCTATGAAGATTTATCGAAATTTGGAAGTTCAATTGATCCAGTACCTGTGTCTACCCTTTGTTCAAAATATCCAAGTTTACATGATGTTAACGTAAAAGGAATCTTAAAATGATTACCAATTATTAAACCAAAACTAATAAAACTGAAAATTAGAATGGCGTTGAATCTTGAACATGTTGAATTATTCATCTAGAGATGCCCTAGTTATACCTGTTCGCCGTAGGTCCACATTTGACGTTCTTCTTTTGGATAAATTCAGAGACGGTGAAAAGTACTTTAGTTTCATCAAATCTTTCACGTAAATCCAACTTGCAAAAAGGGGTGCTTTCACTCTTCACTTCGATTCCTTCACGTTCATGTGAGCAAATTATTAGCCTGGCAAACCCAGCAAAACCATAACTGCTTTAGCAACAATTTTAATTTCGTTCACTTACAGTTTTACCATGTCACCGGACATCATTCCGAGAAATCTTACGCATAAAATCTAACTATTAGTTGCAACTAATATGAATTTATGTAAAGATTTACAAATCGCACACTAACGAAAACAACTAGTAACGGGATCGACTTGGATTGGAGGTTAACCACAAGCATGTTCTTACCAACTGAACCAACCCTCGTTGGCTAGTGTTGTAATTTCAATCAGAATTATTCATCTTTTTTTTTTTTAATTATGCTTTTAAAATTATAATAAATTAACCATATCGTCTATATAACACATAAAGAGATACACCACATAATAAATGTTTCGAGCTGACAACGATAGGAGTGTAGTCGAAGGATGTTATTAAAAAGATTCGTTAATTAAGTTTTAATTGATCACCATTAGGACAGCATTATGATATCAGATTGTCTCCCACATTATTAAGTTTTGCTTTTTTAATGATGTTTTTTAACCTAAGGTCATCTCTAATGGTATTCTTATATTTGGCCTCCATTCGTATATATAGCACACTAAAAATAGAGTTTTTAGAAGAGTGGTTATCATTTTTCATCACCAATGGCGCATGAGCTATATTTTTTTTTTCTAAATATTTTATTATTTAATAATATATTGAGGAATATTAAATTGTACAACACTCAGTCTAACTCATCAACTATTATGTATTGTTTAAAATTAATTAAACTGGAGAAAAAGTAGGAAGAAAATGAGTAAATATATGGGAAAAAATTATTTTGTGCTAAGAAGGTGTGAAATTATTAGAATGTGAGGGAGATATTTAGATTTTTTTGAGTTTTTATTTTTATTTTTGAACAAACGATATTATTTACACTAAGAGGGATGCGTAGGCTTGGTCTCACAATGAGTTAGTAATAATGTAGTAATTCAAATTCGTCCTTCGGTATTTAAACAAATGGCTGATATTTGATATTTACAAAATTATCACCAGTTTTGACATTTTTTTCTTAATAAAAGAAATCCCAGCCCCAAGTTCCAAAACCCCACTAGCTTACTTAAAGGGTGTGTTTGTTTGCAATCACCGGGCTTCATT